TGTTGGTTTCATTATATACTGCTCTCTAACTTTACAAAGGGCCCCACACAAAATAAAGTGTGGTGGTTACTCTAAAATTATAGAAGTGTTTATGACCAAAACCATGTAATATTATTATCCAAACTCAAAATCTGCACACTGAAATATTAAGAATGTAAAATCATAAATTGGAGAACAAGATACGAGTATATAATGTTGTAAAGTATTATTCCTCAGAACCAATTCTAGAAAGAAGCAGTCCTGTGATTCAAAATATGTAGATATTTCTAGATAGTCTGATTTCAGTTACTAACACTGACATCACATTTAAGTGGTTCATCCAGTACAAAATTCCTGCTCGATGTGTAAGATTTTTACCAGAATATAAAATAAATGTTAGCAGAAGAAATATATTTTAAAGACTCCTGTCCCAATATTTCTCATTGCATAACTTGAAAATCTGGGAGAAATCTTTGAAATCTCATAGAGTTTTTCCCCTGCTCCTTCAGAAGTGTAAGCCTCCCCTAACCCGCAAAAGAAAACTTTTCTACTTCCTCCAAGTCATTCTTAATCTTCTTCCTGTCTTCCTTTTAAAAAATTATTTGTGATGTTTATCTTAAAAAGTTAGAATAATCCTGGAATATAATGAGGGATGAAGGAAGATTTTCCCCCAAGCCTTACACTGTATTTGGTTTTAACACCGTGAATACTGCAGTTCACTTGGATGCTTTAGTTTTTTCCTCTTTGATTCCAAATATCTTGAAATCCTATCTTTTTATTTCCAAGTGCCATCATTACCCATCCCCGAAATGAGGAAAAATTAGTAACATCAATGAAAATGGCTAGAGTAGACTCAGTAAAGCTGGAAATGTAGTCAGAGGAGCAGAGCATTATATTTAGTCTGCAAGTAAAAACAAAATGTGAGTCCATATTTCAGGATTAGATTTTTGAAAAAACAGTATTATATATACTTTTATCACCTGAAAATGTAAGGATTAAGTGTAGTGTTAAGGAGTCTAGTGGGAGTTTCCAGGACTATCTTCACTTAGAAATAATGATTCCACTTCCAAGATTGAGGTGCTTGTGAGCAACTACCAAATGGATACCTGTCGTAGCACTTACGGTCACGTGTAAATTAAGGTCACTTAATTTGCTTTACCTCTACTAATCCTTCCTGCATTGGCCAGAACATTATTTTCATCTTCATTTACATGAACTAATTTGCATGTCTTTCTTCCACTAACTTCTAGAGAGTTGGAATACAGGTGTAGAAATTAGGATGTTTCTAACAGTGATACACAACATTCTCATTGCTAGGGTAGGTTTTTTGCTACCAGATCAGGTTAAGAATAAGGGTAGACATGACCATGCTAGCAGGAGGAATGAGGTTTTGAAATTGGCCACAATATTGCAACCTTGGAACTTTGACCAGGAATGCCTGTGACTGAAGGCAAGTATTTCTAAATAGGAGAGTGATTATTTGTCCTAAGCTCCAAAGACATGACCCTTTAAGCAGAAGAAACTATTCTTATTTGTGACATTTGAGTTTGGTTTTTGAAAGAAATACTATAGTATTGGAGTAAAGTATCTACTTAGAATGCTGTGGAACTAAATATTCAGTTGAATCTTAAAACACCATTGATTATTTTATGTATATATTGCTTAATGTATTTTATGAGTATTTTATCAGTTAAGTCACATTCCAAATGTAGAGATTTATTAAAGTGTGAAAAATGTGCATCTTTAATTAACTGATAAAATTCCAATTATTTGCAAATTTACTAGAATATAATCTGTGAAACAGTTTTTCCAAAATTTAACACAGAATATTACGGTTGAATATGTTCAAGCCTGTAAGCTTTTACAGCTTGAGAATTTTTTTTTTTTTTTTTTTTAATTAATCTAAGTGCTTCAGAGAAGTGTTTTTGCTGTTAAGACTTGGGCTTTTAAAATATTTAATATCAAATTTTTATACATTTATTTGAAACATTTTTTGTTTTTTTAATGGGGTATATAGATTGCACACTTAGCGCAAATTGAAGATGATAGAGCTGCAATGGTTATTTCTTGGCATCTGGCAAGTGACATGGACTGTGTGGTCACCCTGACCACTGATGCTGCGCGTCGCATCTATGATGAAACCCAGGGCCGTCAGCAGGTGTTGCCCCTTGACTCTATTTATAAGAAGACGCTTCCAGATTGGAAAAGGTGAGAAAAATGTTAGAGTGATTATTTTTCTACACGGTGTTTTCTTATTTTTTATCAAAGCCCTGTATTTAAAAATTTTTCTGAAAAAAATCTACAGCAATTTGAGAAGTAACTCACATTACCTACATTATTTTTGTCTTCCTCATAAATGCACATACTTCATTAATGTTGATATTGCAGTGCGTTTGCTCACATATGCTAGCCGTGTTTAGTCTGCGAATTGTTATTTGTATATGAGATACATGAACACACACACACACAAGCACATGTACATGCAAATCTTTGGCCTTTGCAACATATGGTTCTAATAGTACTGCTGATATTAAATCATAATGGTATGGACAGGACAGAATAGATTTAGTTTATACATACTAATTGGATCCTTGTAAATGTTGCAAGACCCTTTGCTAAGAGTTGGGGTGAATGTAAGGTAATGCTGATTTTGTACTTAAGAAACCTAATAGGTAAAGAAGGAAATACAACTTGAACATAAATAACTGTAAAGTTAAAATGTGTTCAGTTCCATAAGAGGTAATGAAAGAAGGGCTTTCAGTACTCTAAGGAGGGAGTGATAATAAATTTAAGGTAATGAAGGAAGGGTAGGATGAAGGACAACTTCATGGTAGAGGTGGTTGTTGACTTGGATTTGAAATGTTCGGAGAAAGGATTAAGGACGTTCCAGGTAAAGAGAACAGCATGAGAAGAAGCACACAGGTGGTAAAACATGTTTGGAGAATAGGAGATAGTTTTGTTTGTCAAGAGCACATAAGAGATTTATAAGAGAATTATGAGAAACTAAGACTGGTAAATAAGTTGATAGCTAATGTCACACTAAATATACTAAGTATGAATATACATTTTTACTTATGAATCAGTTTGTATGTGGATCACTAAAGCTTTTATCCCATGCATTAGAAAGATTCTGGCAGCTCTGTGTAAGGTAGATTTCAAGAAAGGGAGAGGCTGGAGGCAGGGACATGTGTTACGAGGATCGTGAAGCAATACCAGGTTCAAGATAATGAAAGCCTAAACTAGGGTAGTGGTAGTAAGACATGGAGATAGATTAAATCGGGGGCTTTGAGATCACTTTAAGAATCTGATACAAGTCGTAAATATTCTCCCTTAAAAAAACACAAATACCATAGTCTCATGGGACGACTCAGTCAATTGGTATAACATAATTCATAAAGATAATGTTCTGCATACTAGTTTGATGAGTGGCATCTGGCGTCTTAAAAGCTTGCAAGCAGCCATCTAAGATCCAGCTATTGGTCTCTACTTGTCTGGAGCAAAAGAGAATAAAAGAGATCAAAGACTCGAAGAAACTAGTCCATAGGACTTAAAGGCCACACGAACCATGGCCTCTTCTAGCCTGAGACCAGAAGAACTAGATGGTGCCTGGCTACCACTACAGATCGTTCTGACCAGGGACACAATAGAAGGTCCCAGGTAGAATGGGAGAAAAATGTAGAACAAAATTCAGATTCCTAAAAAAAGTCCAGACTTACTGGACCAGTAGAGACTAGAGGAACTCCTGAGACTATCACCCTAGGATACCCTTTGAACTCGGAACTAAAGCCACTCCCAGAGGTCACCTTTCAGCCAAATAATAGATTGGCTTATAAAATAAACAGTATCACCCGTGAGTGATGTGCTTCCTTTAACAGTCAACTGTATGAGACCGAATGGTCAACATTTACCTGAAAACAAAGATGAGAAGGCAAGGAATGGTAGGGAATCTAGGCCAATGGAAACAGAACAAACAATGAAAATAATGAG